CAGCAATTTTACACCAATTCCCTAACAACCATTCATTTCCTACTCCCCTTTTGGGCAGATGCTAATATGTTGGGGGACCCCTCCCTTAGACTTAATGAAATCAAGCTGACCTGTATTTTCTAGCAGCTCTTCTCTCCTACCCTTCCCAATTCATTTCCCCACACTGAGACGAAAATGGGCTTTTTCCCCAATTACCTGACAAATTATCCACTTTTGACAATGCCCCAACCCCGCTCCGGGAAGGCACACTCTATTCTATTTTCTTTTTCCCTATTAAAAAAGCACGGTCAACATATCTTACCTGAGAGTCACCAAACTAAAAAATGCGCTTACCTTCATTGCAGGGGCATAGACCCTTCCTTCACTGGCCCTGAATACATTCTCCTGGGAAAAGAGAAGCGATTTCCTACCTTCGATCTCACCTTTTAACTTTCCTTTACTCATGGCCCCCCCCATTACTTAAAAACCCCACTTGTAGCAGGTGCTGGCTGCACCACTGCTGGTAGCCTTTGTCCTCCCCACCTACCCTCCCACAGGAGGACAGACTGCCCTCACGCTAGAAGCCTCATTCCCCCATCTAAAAACCCCCCTCACCTCTCTCCCGGGCCCTTGAGGGGGCCTTCACCCTCCAAATCTCCTCCGGGAGAAGCAAAAAACCCCCTCCTTCAACTCTCCAACCTCATTTTTAAAAACACTGCGAAGCAACCCATGTTTTGAAAACCGTCCACCTAATCCCAAAGCAGCTCAGGGCAAACTTTCCCACGTTGTGTCACCAGGTGTCGTACTTAATAATGGTAACAGATAACTTTCCCTGATGTCACAGTGTCAGTACATTAATAAAAATGATACTTGACTGCCAAAAAGAGAGAAAATGCATTCACTAGGCCCTTTATCCCCCCAAATATGAGGGGCCAAGTTGCCCCTTTTCTTTTCACAATATTTCATTATATCAAATTTTTTTATCATATGAAATTTAACACAACACCAAAAAACGACGAATAGAAGCTTCAGTGATTTATTATATCGTTGGTATGAAGATGCGCAGTTTTAAAACAGGAGCAGCCTGCTTGCATTATTTTTTCATCTTTTTTTAAATTTATTTGGAAAAATTTAAAATTTTGGGTGTCTTTCCTTCTTTGTTTAAAGTGTTTGTTTTTTAAGCCGCTTATTAAGGGGAGATCCCCAACATAAATGATTTTGTCGTATATATTGCAACTTTTGTGGGTAGTCGTAATTTGTTTTATGTTAAGCGCGTGGGGTGAGCAAGTAAATTTTGGGCGCTGTAACATGTGAGAACATGAGAAGCCGGGGTGCGTGGGGTTAGTTGGGGGAACTGCATTGGGGTCTTGTTTGGGAGAGAGGCCTGGGGGGGGAAAGGGGGCTTGGGGGTGTGTGTGAGACATGACTGAAGGAGATAAAAAAATGTTGGTAAGGATTAGGTCGAATTCATTTGAAAAAGGGTTTTGGAGGAGCGCTTTGGCGGACTTTTTTTTTTTTAGCAAAATTAGATACATCAGTAATGGCTCTTTCCCGTTTCTTTTAAATAGAAGAAAACTAGTTACGTTTGTCTCGTTCCATCGCATGAAGAGGTAAATCTAAATTTTCCTGAAAAATGTTCGAGGGGCCCAACGCCCCTGCAGCAAGGCTTCCTGTGGGATCAAGCTTGTAACCAGGCGCAAATGTGGTTGCACCCATCCAGTGTACAAACCCACAACTTGAAGGCATTAAAGAGTTGAGACTCTTGTCATTCATTCCAGTTCCCCCTTAATGTACCCCGTCGGTCCCTGCTTTTTTTGGAGTATTTGGGGGGATTCAGTATTCTTTTCAAGATTGTGATGGACTGTTTAAAACCGCTCCGGGCTGAGGACTGATTACCTCAAACCCCCTCCTGATCTTCACCAACCTTTCTTTGTATAGGACTGATGAAACCCCTGAGTGGGGACACGTTTTTCCCCATAAAAATACCCAAATGTTGCCCAGTTATAAATTTCAAAATAAAGGGGAATTTTGTTTTTTTTATTAAAACTTTTTGGCACCCCCCTGAAAGCCACCCCCACCCCAGGGTTTAGAAATCCCGCAGCTTGGGAGTTTCGCTCATATAGCTGCAGTTTCTATCTCTTGGGAATTACCCTGTCTTTTAAAAACCGTCACTTACATAGGGGGCACGAATTTTATCAGAATCTACCCACCTGGAGAATGTTTTCCCAGGGGCAGTTCCCCCCTGGGGGCCATTCCCGTGGACCTGATGAGCCAGGTTTCTGCACGAAATCCAATGTAAGCCCAAAGCCCAGGGTCTGTTAGAAATGTCCCCTGTTATGAAGGGATAAAGTTTAAACGTCTTGGGCCCTTCACATTTTTTGAAATTTTTTTTCTACTGTACTCATTGCATCCCTATTTTTCATTGGGTGTACTTTTTCATCGTCAACCAAGTATTACTTTTAAGGGAATGATTTTTGGTGAAAATTTTAAAATAACCCTTCTAGAATTTTCCCCTGTTAAATTAAGGTATCTTTCGCCTACTTCCAAGGAGTACAGATCACGGGACTCAAAAGTGACCTAAGGCATTTCCGGGGGTTTCAAGACCCCCCGCGGTATGGTCCCTTTAAAATTGTTGCTTTAACCGAAAATTTTTGGGCCAATGAATGTTATGTGCACATTCTCCCGAAAACCCGTTTGACCTTCCCTTTCTGAGCTATTAAAAAGCAACAGTACTCCAGCCTAAAAAGAACAAGTGACTTGAAAAAACATTTTTGGGCTTGGTATCTTTTTTGAAGGGTTTTAGTTACCGATTGTCTTTTTCTTGGGGTTTGATAATGACACCTCACACACTCACCAAATAAAGTAGTATTTTTGATGTTTATATATATATAAAAATATATATATAATATATTTATATAAATAATATATATAATATATATAAAATATAATTTTTATATATATATATTATAATATATTTATAAAATGCTGATGCAAGGAATTCGCAAAACAGGGGAAATATACAAAACCGATCTCTGGCTGAAGGAGACTCGAAACCTACGAACCTTGAACAAGGGACGCAGTGCTTTACCAAATTTCCCACTGGACCAATACCTTTGGGGTCCACTTGGCTAGACTTTGATCCAAGGGACCACTTTCAGGGGGAAGGCTTACAGCTTTTCATCTCATCCCCTGGTTTGTGTAATTTTGCCTGCCCTTTTTTCGAATTCCTTTCATTGTTAATATCTTGTAAGCTGATGCATGAGGGATAGATGAAAAGCTGTAACCTTTTCCCGAAAGTGGTGCCTGGATCAAAGTCTAGCGCAAGCTGGCTCCAAGGTATTTGGGCCAGTTGGGAGGTTTGGAAAGACTGCGTACCTTTTTCCAAGGTTGTTGTTCGAGTCTCCTTCACCGATTTATAATATATATATATATGTAAGGGGGGGGGTAGATATGTTTTTTTCCTCCTGCGTTATCACTCGCCACCACGTTGTGATCATTGTAGGTGAGTCCTTGACATTATTTTCTCCTAATAGTAATCCGAATCGTTTCATAAAATTAAGACTCGAAAATGGGTGCCTTTGCTGGTGAAAGGCTCTTGATCCCGAGATTTGGAGCTACCCTTCTTCTAGGATCAAAGGGTTACGACCCTTTTACCAGGTCATCCAGCCTCTCATTGTTTCAAGTCAAAAAATTTACATTTCTGTCTCACCCCGTTTTTTGGTTCCTCATTCACCTTCAACTTGTTTTAATTAAAGTGGCGAGGTAAAATTGGAAGTTCCTCTTACTGCCCTTACCTAACAGCTATCTTCTCCCCCCGACCTAAACCCTTTTTTTCTCCTCGACTTGACCTCCTTGGTTATCTCACACTGACCTTTTATAATCAACTTTATTTCACAAGCTGACGAACCCACGGGAAAGGGTTAGGTTTTTAATCCATGGCGGCAGTCTAAAACCTAGGGCCGTGTTAACCACGGGTTTTTGGCTTACGCACTTCCTGGGAATTTTTTCGGCTCACGCCACAGGTTCAAACCTCACCGTTTCCTTTTTTTGTTTACAATCGTGTTTTTTACGATTAAATGAAAGAAGTCTTTGGGAATTTATGCAACCTACCGACACATTTTTAAACCCAAAAAGGGTTTTTTGTATATATGTTCACCCTTTGGCAGCACTTACATTTGTGAACATCGTTTGCAAAAGGTAAGAATTGTTAAGTCGATGGGGCGATCAAAACGTTTGATTAAAGATTTGCAAGACATTTAAGTTGTTTTTCACAAACATTGAACTTGTGTTAATTTCTCACCGAGCCTGGGTCATGCCGGGGTCCGGGAAAATAAAAACTCCCCGAAACTCATTTGAAGTAAAGGGACAAACTGTACCCAAACATCAAATTCGATTATGTAAAAAAAGAAAGTCTTAGTATGTTGTGTTATCAATTGATAACATTAAATTTACAGAAGGCACATTTAATAAAACTGTTAATACACATTTTTTTTATTTGTGATTATAACTTATTTTATACGGTTTTTTGCTTTAATCCCAGATTCATTATTTTTCATTAGCTTTGCTTTAACGCTTTTTACTGACTAACTAGTTAGTGGGGAAATTTTTATTTTTTAGGGTATTAAAATTAGTGATTTTTGGAAAAAAGTTTTCATTGTGTTGATTTATTTTTTCAGTTTTGAGGTAATTTAAAATTTTTTAAGATGTTGGGTTTTGTAGGTTAACACGCAATTCATCTATTTAGGGGCTGCCCTTGTCACTTTACCATTAAATGTGTTCCATTTTTGTATCTAAAAGGTTGGAACCACTGTCCCCGGCATGAAGCGACATTCTTGTTTGTGTTCCTAGTTTTTTATTTTCTCTCTTTTTTGTTTTGCTTTTAAAAAATTTTGCGTGGTTTTAATAAAATTTCTTTTCCTTTAGTATTACTGATGTTAGTTGACATGATAAGCATTACAATACTAATTCTTGTATAATACTGAGCTTGAGCTAGTGTTATAATGGTCATTATTTTGTTTCAGGCAGGAACGAGCATACTATCGATACTGCAAGGCGCGGGCGTGGGTGGCATCAAGGTGGACGTGGCTACAGGCGCAGGTGGCAGACCTTGAATACAGAATTTTGCAACAACATAAAATATATGGGTGAGTACCCACACTGACTTGCACTCTGCTAGTCATGCGCCTTGAGCGAGTGTGCACTTAGGAAGGGTTATGTCGAAAATGGTATAAAATACCGTCTACTTGATGATGAGACGCATGTGCAACTGTTGGGTATCTTGGTCGAAACGTTTCGCTTACACAGTCGAAGTGGAAGATCTCGAGATCTTCCACCTCACCTTCGACAGTATTTAAGACTCCATTCTCATGCTTCAGCTTCATATTGTTTCAGACCATGGAACACTTTTCCAGGCTGAGGGACTGATGACCTAATATACTATTTCTCCAAGGTTGATGGACTGATTACGTCATCTTCATTTCACTGCTACACCTGTATCTGACTGAAGAAGCCTACTGTGTATGAGAAACGTTTCATGAACAAAAATACCCAGGTGTTACTCATGCTGTTCGGCCTGAGGCCGCCACACTTCTCCGGTGATGCCTCTCATCAACCAAACTCTTTGTTACCTGCAACCTTACATCCCAGTTACAACTTGGCTGATCTGGCACTTCTAGTAGACCTTTGTCCAGTTTCCTCATGTATATTTCCACCTGTATTCCGGCTGGATTTCTTTTATCTGCTGTCCTGGAGGATGGTGTAACGGTTTAGGATGAGGCAACTAGTACTCTGAGTTGTGCAAGAAAGGTATAAAATACCTACAATATGAAAGTTAAGACACATGTGCAACATCTGGATATCTTTATTATAGACGTTTCGCCATCCAGTGGCTTTATCAATACAGATTCTAGGACATAATAGGAAGACAGTAGAACTATATACAAAAGATGAGGTAATCAGTCCCTCAGCCTTGGAGTTAGTGTTCACAGCATCGTGGTGGAGGAGAATCTGGAGCAAAGGCAAAAAGACTGGCGGTTATATAGGCGTCAGTGGATAAGGACGGGCAGCAGACGAGGGCATAGTCACTGGTAGGCGGGATTCCCCAGTGGAAGTAGGTCCTTCCCAAAGAGATGGGTTAGTTGCAGCAGCCGTGAAGAAGGTCTTGTAGATGTCCTCTGAACCAAGATTCCATGATGTTGCAGTGTCTTGACAAGTTGTGCAAGAAAGGTATAAAATACCGACAATATGAAAGTTAAGACACATGTGCAACATCTGGATATCTTTATTGTAGACGTTTCGCCATCCAGTGGCTTTATCAATACATGTGTCTTAGTACTCTGAGTTGTTTGTGGGGTCTGAGTAACTTCTACAACCTCCCGCACCCCACCGGCTCCTAGTTTTCTTCGATCTGCATCGCAGGTTTCTGGTCTCTTGGGCTGATCATATCTACTTTTAATTAAAGCTGTGTATCGAGTTCCTCCACTACTACTACATCAAAGCTATTCCACTTAACTCTACCTGAGACTAAAGAAATGCTGTACTTCATCACATACCTATGATTTCAGCTTCCACCTGTGTCCCTTTGATCAAACAAGTCTGTCACTATCTACCCTATAAACTAGCGTTATACGCTACATTTATGTAGCTTTGAACATTTTGATGCAAACAAGAAAAAATGACAGCAATATTGTAAAATATGGTTTCATTGTGCAACAACCAGCAGGAATTATCAGTATATGTTTTGTGAAAAAATTTATAAACCCTTAACCCAAATTGATAGTGCCAGCATTTTGACTCGGTCCCGTTATTTCCCCTCCCCCTCAAAAAAAAAAAAAAAAGGTGCCACAGGATTCTTGAAAAAATAAATAAATAAATAAACTGCTGTACTCTAAAAGGAGCACAACAAAAAAGTTTGTAAACCCACTGTCACACGTTAGTTCGATAAGCAAATTACTATATATATATATATATATATATATATATATATATATATATATATATATATATATATATATATATATATATATATATATATATATAAACAGGCAATACAGTCACAAGCAAGCGATCTTAATGCAGAACAAGCCACAGGGGACTTGTTCTGCATACATAACACATTTTCAAAGATGTGAGGTGCCAGTGTAGTGCTACAAGAAAAATGATCTAAAATATAATTATCTTAAGATAACATAAGAACGAAGGAACACTGCAGCAGGCCTATTGGCCCATGCGAGACAGGTCCAAGTCTCCTACCGGCTTAAGCCAATGCACCCAACCTAGTCAGGTCAGGTCACCTTGACTTAAGGGAGGAACACGGCAACCGTCCTGGTAGCACAAGCTAATCAGGTCCAACTCACACCCACCCACACCCACTCATGTATTTATCCAACCTATTTTTAAAGCTACACAACGTTCTGGCCTCTAGGACTGTACTTGGGAGTTTGTTCCACTCATCCACAACTCTATTACCAAACCCGTGCTTTCCTATATCCTTCCTGAATCTGAATTTTTCTAACTTAAAACCATTGCTGCGAGTCCTGTCTAGGCTAGATATTTTCAGCACACTATTTACATCCCCTTTATTTATTCCTGTCTTCCATTTATACACCTCAATCATATCCCCCCTAATTCTACGTCTTTCTAGAGAGTGCAGATTCAGGGCCCTTAGTCTATCCTCATAGGGAAGGTTTCTGATACATGGGATCAACTTTGTCATCCTCCTTTGTACATTTTCCAGAGCATTTATATCCATTCTGTAATACGGTGACCAAAACTGTGCAGCATAATCTAAATGAGGCCTAACCAAGGATGTATAGAGTTGAAGAACAACCCGAGGACTCCTATTATTTATGCTTCTTGATATGAAGCCAAGGATTCTATTAGCTTTATTGCGAACACTTATGCACTGTTGTCTTGGTTTCAGATTACTGCTAACCAAACTCCTAAATCTTTTTCGCAATCCGTAATATTAAGATCTACATTATTTAGTTTATATGTGGCACTGTTATTGTCCTGTCCAACATTTAGAACTTTGCATTTGTCTATATTAATCTGCATCTGCCACCTCTCCGACCACTGCATCAGTCTATTCAAATCTTCCTGGAGTGCTCTAATGTCCTCGTCAGAATGAATTCGACGGCCTATTTTGGTGTCATCGGCAAACTTGCTGATGTCGCTCTTTATGCCCTCATCTATGTCGTTTATGTATATTGTGAACAGCAGGGGGCCCAACACTGACCCTTGTGGAACACCGCTCGTGACGCTTCCCCACTCTGATTTCTCCCCATTTATGCAAACTCTCTGCTGCCTATTTGTCAACCATGCCTCTATCCAGGAAAAAATTTCTCCTATTCCATGTGCCTTAATTTTCCTCAGTAGTCTCTGATGTGGGACCCTGTCAAAAGCCTTACTGAAGTCCATATACACAATATCATATTCATTACCATGATCTACCTCCTCAAATTAATAAATTCGTAAGGCAGGAACGCCTCTTGTAAAACCATGCTGAGATTCGTTGATTAATTTATACTTTTCAAGGTGGCTACGAACTGCCTCGGCAATTATTGATTCCATAAATTTTCCCACTATGGAGGTTAGGCTTATTGGTCTATAGTTCGAAGCTAAGGACCTGTCACCTGCTTTGAAAATAGGTATCACATTTGTGCTTTTAAACACAATTTCGTGAAATAACAGGAAACAGAGAGGCCTGCTACCCTTACTGCCCCTCCCCCCTCCCAGGCCGACCCTGCCGCACACCCTCCACCATCGTAACATCCCAGGCCGACCCTGCCGCACATCCTCCACCATCGTAATATCCCAGGCCGACCCTGCTGCACGCCCTCCACCATCGTAATATCCCAGGCCGACCCTGCCACATACCCATCATTGTAACATCCCAGCCCGACCCTGCCACACACCCTCCACCATCGTAACATCCAGGCCGACCCTGCCGCACATCCTCCACCATCGTAATATCCCAGGCCGACCCTGCCACACCCTTCACCATCGTAATATCCCTGGCCGACCTTGTCCCACACCATCCACCATCGTAACATCCCAGGCCGACCCTGCCACACACCCTCCACCATCGTAACATCCCAGGCCGACGCTGCCGCACACCCTCCACCATCGTAACATCCCAGGCCGACCCTGCCACACACCCTCCACCATCGTAATATCCCTGGCCGACCTTGTCCCACACCATCCACCATCGTAACATCCCAGGCCGACCCTGCCCCACACCCTCCACCATCGTAACATCTTTGACCGACCCTGCCACACACCCTCCACCATCGTAAATAGTGTGCTGAAAATATCTAGCCTAGACAGGACTCGCAGCAATGGTTTTAAGTTGGAAAAATTCAGATTCAGGAAGGATATAGGAAAGTACTGGTTTGGTAATAGAGTTGTGGATGAGTGGAACAAACTCCCAAGTACCGATATAGAGGCCAGAACGTTGTGTAGCTTTAAAAATAGGTTGGATAAATACATGAGTGGATGTGGGTGGGTGTGAGTTGGACCTGATAGCTTGAGCTACCAGGTCGGTTGCCGTGTTCCTCCCTTAAGTCAATGTGACCTGACCTGACTAGGTTGGGTGCATTGGCTTAAGCCGGTAGGAGACTTGGACCTGCCTCGCATGGGCCAGTAGGCCTTCTGCAGTGTTCCATCGTTCTTATGTTCTTATGTAACATCTCTGGCCGACCCTGCCACAAACCCTCCACCATCGTAACATCGCAGGCCGATCCTGCCTCAACGCCCTCAACCATCGTAACATCCCTGGCCGACCCTGCCACACACCCTCCACCATCGTAACATCTCTGGCCGACCCTGCCACACACCCTCCACCATCGTAACATCCCTGGCCGGCCCTGCCACACACCCTCCACCATCGTAACATCCCTGGCCGACCCTGCCACACACCCTCCACCATCGTAACATCTTTGGTCGACCCTGCCACACCCTCCACCATCGTAACATCCCTGGCCGACCCTGCCACACACCCTCCACCATCGTAACATCTCTGGCCGACCCTGCCACACACCCTCCACCATCGTAACATCTCTGGCCGACCCTGCCACACACCCTCCACCATCGTAACATCTCTGGCCGACCCTGCCAAAACACCCTCCACCATCGTAACATCTCG